AACAATAAGATGCGTAATTTGATGACTGATAATGTAAACCAATGATGGCTCATCTAAAATAATTGAATTATTATTTCTCTTATTTAAAGATTAAGAAAATAGATAACATACCATTGAAAATACGACATACCATTTCAATTGGAAGATTAACAAGACTTAGTTTATGAAGTTTCGAATAATTTCCAATACGAAGAACACGTTCTACTGATAGTGAATCAAGAGTAAGACATTGGATATTATGTTGAATTCGTTGTAAAATTAATAAACAGAATCTATCGAGTATTGAATTATGATGTTCATTTGATAATGTTGTTACTAAATTAATAGACTGTGTAAAAGTAATATCTCGAGCTAATCGGTCGAGTTTTTTATTGACACCTATGAATGAATTTAATACATCCAGATTATTAAGTTTGTTTAAAATGTTGAGCAACATTTCGTCGCATAGATCAACGATATTAAGAGTCGAATTGCTCATGTTGAATTGTCAATGACAAATATGCTGAACACAATCGTTTATACATATATGTATGCTCCTTCTATTTCATATCTGACGTTGTCAACAAAGATTATATTTAATAGTCCGACGATGAATATTGTGACCTTTTCAACATAGTGAAATTCTTTCATAGTTGAATGAAAACGTACCGTGAAGAATGGAATTATTAATAATAAATAAATCTAATTTAAATAGAAGTTTTTAAGATTTTATGTCTAATGTACTTTCATTCATTCCTACAATTTCTATGTTTTCACTCTAAAATGAACATTCTGTTAAAACTGATATTTTTCGTTTGTATTCTTATTTGAGAACTCTATGAGATAGTTGATAGAAAAATAAAGTAGGATGATACGATGAATATTTGTCGATGTTTTTATTTTGCAATAAAGATTGATAAATCTTCAAAAAAATATTATATATCATGACTTAAGATTACGAAATCACTCTCTCATCAGTCGCCAATTATCATCGTGGGTGTGGGTGTGGATGAAAGTATCAAAATAAAGCCAATGTAATACCCACACCCACACCCGCACCCTCAATATACTTCTGTAATCATTTAATATGCTCATTTAATCTAAATAAACTCAAATTATCGAAAAAAGAAAATGAATATATCTCAATCTTATTTTATCATATTTATATATATACAAATAAACTGCCTGTAAACATTGATGTGGTTTATTCTAATAAATAGTACAAGACAAAATTAAAATTCATATACTTTATTATGTGGTTTTCTACAATGTACACATTGTTGTTTACGATTGCTATTGATTATTTATAATGAAAAAGATTTTAAATAATTCTCCTAGGCCAGACAATCTTATCAATATATATTATTTTATTTTTATTGATGAAAAGAAATAGAAAATATGTTTGCCTTATTTTCTTGGATTTTTTTTTCAATTTAAATTTTAAATTATTCCTTTTTAATTCAGTTTTCTTACGGCTTTATATATATATGTTTTTTTTCATTTGAAGAGAGCACGTAGTTTATTTCTGTGCAAACTGTGATATGAAGTAGGTGAAATATGACAATAATGAAAAATGAAATCGTTTTAATTTATCATAAAACTATTTCCGATTAAAAACCTAAATGAGTTACTTGAAAATTGACATTGAAATATAATGTTAGTTATGTAAAAATACATGTTCAATGTTAAATAAATTCTCGAAAGTAGACATTGTTTTTTTAAGCATTAATTTATAATTGTATGAAAAAATATTGTTTATACTCTTTTTTTTTCTAAGGTGAAGTGGATCAATGTCAAACAATAAGTATCTATTTAACATGTTACTATTGACCAAACTATTCGCTTATAAAAACATAAATTTTCTATTCTTAGTAACTTATAAATCGATTTGATTTGAAAAAAAACTCATTTGAATTGCTTCAAATTTCATTTAAAAAGAAAAACGAATTTCTTAATAATAACAACGTTGATATTGTGAATAGATTGAAGAATTCATACTTGATAATAATTTATCAGTTATATTGTCTAGATTTATATGAGAATGTTTTGTATAATAATGAGTTTTTGTTGATTGATTATTATTATTATTATACATTGTTTTATCAATTGAAGAAACAATAGCACGAAGATCATTTTTTAAATTATTATTAATTTGTTCCGTTGAACTTGTACGTGGTAATTGGGCATAACAATCTTCATTATTAGCTGGTGGTAATGAATCATCATAGATTGAATATGGTATTATAGAAGTTGGACGTTGACGACGATATAAATGATCATCTTTCTTAGTTGTTAAACGATATGTATCATTAGCAATACGTACAAAACTTTTTTTTTCTAATGGTGTCGGTGGTGATCGATTAATTGGAATACGTTTTTCAATTTTTTTTATAATAGCTGCTGATGATTGACGATTTTTTGTTATGTTTGGTCTATTGATTTGAGTTTCTTGTACATTATGAAAATGAACTGATTTATTATTATTATTATGGGTTGTTTCTAATGTTGATAAAGATAATCGACGATGATGTATAGGTAGATGTGATTCACCATGATCTAATGATATATGAGAATCAGCGAGAGATTCTGTTGAAAAAGTTTCTAACGTTAATAATGTTTCTTTCGATGGTATACGATGATTATTATTTGAATCTGTACGTTCATCCGAATAGATTCCACTTGATATTGATTCATTATTATCCATCGATGATGATGATGAATGTGTTCGTGTTAAAGATAAAGATCTTTTAATAGTTTGTGGATAATCAATTAAACATTCATCAGACATATCTGTTTGTTGTTTATGAAAAGATGTTTGTTGTAATGATAAGGATGGTAATATTTGAGTATTTGTTCGTGTTATTGTTGAAATAGAAAGTGGCTCAGTAACTTGAACTTTTTTACGAATGGATGGTACAACAGTATTTGTACGATTAAATAGTGTTGATGATGGTAAAACGGTTAAGGTTGTTCCACGTCGTATATTAAATGCTGGTAATTGAAATGGTGTAACAGATGTTAAAGTATTCTGAGGATTAATTTTATCATTAGTAGTAGTTGAAGAAGATATTGGTTCAATTTTTGTTTTACTTCGTAATAATAAACGATGTGGAACTGTTGATGATACATTCATTTGATCTAATTGAATCTTTTGTTCTCTATCTCGTTTTTGTGCAGCATTTGTAATAGTACCAAACCATTTTCTTGGAATTAATGTCCAACGTTTTTTCGATGGCATAATTGCTTTTATTTAAAACGTCTTTTAGTTTAATGAACAGACGTAGTAACGACGAGAGTTGTACTTGAATCGGTAGTATTTTTACTTCGATTCTTTAATCGATTAACAAGAGTGAACTGTGTATGGGATCATATGAAGTAGTAATACTGAATTCTTTTTCGCTTTCTAATTTTCGATAGATCGAAAGAAAAAGAATGACGTAAAGAGAATTGTACGAATAATTGAAATACAAACATAACAAGAATTCATCTTTTTATTAGCCAATTCTTTTTATGGCGTTGTCAAAAAAAAAAGAACGCAGAACAATCAACAATTTCTCTTATTTTTTTTTTTAAGAAATCATAACGTCTTAATCAAAATTATTTGTATTACATATGTTGGACATTTTTTTTTCTCTCTGTCGATCCTGCAATATATTTTAAGAATTATTACATATACATACATACATACGGCATAAGGATTTTAAAAATTGATTATATGATATAGAAGAAGAAAAAAAGCAGAGAGATTAGCTCGAAATACTTGAAGTATATAGAACTGTATATTTTGTAACTGTTCAATGTCGATTATAATTGTTTCGATTTTGATTATTACTTGAACTATTACTTGGATTGAATTGAATAGAAGAAGGAACTTTGGATGGTGATAATGGCATTTGCCGGCTATGACTAGAATTTGCACTATCTGCTAATTCATTATGATTATATGAAAGCATTTGTATATCATGTCCATTCGGTTGTTGTTGATGATGATGATGATCATATCTTTGTACTTCAGAAACACGTGTCATTTCACTTGAAGGAATATGTCCATGGTTCCCTTGACGATTGTGTTGTTGCTGATGATGATGATGATGATGATTATTATTATTATTTCTATGATGAGGATGATTACCAGCAGATCGTTGTTCATTTGCATCTGAATTACCATCAGTTTTTTTAAGACAACATATAAAGACTATTGTGAGAATAACAGCACAAATTAATGATACACCAAGAACAATACCACCACCAATTGTTCCCGATGAAATGCCTCTCACTAAACCTAAAATAAACGAATATTTTTTAGATATCAATAAAAAAAAGAAAAGAATTTTAATACCATAGATAAGTGCAGCAAGTCCACCAAGGATTCCACAAGCTATAAAAAGGCCTAGGATTGAAACGCATGCTTCAGTAGTAGATGAGTGTCTTGTTGCATTGTTATGCTTGGAAAAGAAGATCATACTTAAAAATAAAGTTTCTAAACATAAAAATTACATTTTAGTTGAATAATTTCTAATAAACTATTTTCTAGTTATCAGTAAAACTTACATTTAAACAAAAATTTTATAATTGCTCGTCTCTATAATACAAAATATAGTATTCAACTGACGCTTCTTCCTTCTTTTTTCTTCTACTTTTTTTCTAACTTCAAATATCTCAGTTTTTAAAAAAAAGAAAATTTCTGTATTGTTTCTTTTTTAAAAGTAGACAAACATTATATTCTCAATTCTCTTTTCCTTCTACTAAGTTTTTCCTCTTTCTTCGATGTCTATCGTATATGTGTTCTAGTTAAGAATATTTAACATTATTTTCTTTTTGCACTTGATAAAATATATATTAAAAAATATAAAAGAAAAATCTTATTCTCGCATCCGTTCAGTTTGTCTATATTTATTTTATACGTTGATTTATAACATACTGTATCAAGCATATATGTTTGTCAAATGGAAAAGAAATAAGACGAAAAAAATTTGATATTATGATTAACATTTACTTAAAATAAATCAGTATTTTTTCTTCTTCTTCTTCATATTATAATCTATTCCATTCAACATGAATGAGTTGAAGATGGGTAACTTTAAAAACCTGTTATTTCAAAATTTTTAAATGCCTGTTTTTTTTTCTCATTCAAACTTTGATTAAAAACTATTATTTTTTAACATAAAGTGAAGTATATCATGCACCTATGACATGGTTGTTTGGCAACTATTCATATCTAAACATAAAAAAAACTAGAATAAAATGAATAGGATGTTTAATCACAAATGACAGGTCAATCTTAATACTGAATGTTCGATATATGTATGACGTCGTTCGGTTTGTTTTTACTAAAACATTAAATATCAATCATATGTATTTATCTAATTTTTAAAGTGTGAATGAGGTTATTTTTTGACTAATTGTAGTTATTTTACTATATAATTGAACAAAGGAAATTTTATTTTATATATAACAATAATAGTTAAATAAAAAGAATGCAGAAAAATGTCCTAAAATATTTTTATTCTTTTTTCTTCTTTTTTTCTTTTTCAATATGCGCTTTTTTCACTTGTTTTATACAAATTTTTAATAACGATGCGGATTCATAAAGCCAAAGTCCCTGCAACAAAATAATAATAAAAATATTCATTAAAAAAACAAAAATTTCATTTTCTTATTTACCACAACTACACAACAATTAACAATAACTGGTAATGAGAAAACAGTTGAGATAAACATTCCTTGACTATCGAAGTATTGATCTTCAGCAAACAATCTATAATTGAATAATATATATTTATGTAACCCATAGCAAATTATTAATGACTTACTTCCATTTTTCGGCCGCTAATTTATTAATATATTCAGCACAATAGATACAAGAGACTAAAAATTATCTTAAGTTCATTACAAAAAAAAAAACAAATCAACTTACGAAGACCAAGAAATATAAATATTTGAATATTTATATGACCCCGTGTTAAGATAATAATTAATAAACAGATTATATGAAAACCACATAACGCGATTAACCATGGTTCATACCAATTGATCTTAAAATTTAGAAAATAATATTTTTGTTTTTTGGCTACTAGTTAATCTAATCTTACCATTTGAAGAAATTGCCAATAAGTCGTAATGGATGTTGTTTCAATAAAAGATTCATGCATTTTTTATTTATTGTTCTATTGTCTTGAAAAAGTAAAAGAATTTCAAACTAATACTTTTAAATATCTATGTTTTTTTTGCTTTTAAAGTCTTTTATTTGAATATAAATCAACGAAATATAACAATTAAAAGGATTACACTAAAAGTACAGCATTAATACATCCATCATTTTCAGGATGATTGGTTACTTGAGCATATTTTCCCCATACAACTTTACCACCTTGTGTAACCATACCAAGTTCACTAACATTTACTTCAAGTACTGTTCCTTTGGTGATAACACCTAAGGATGTATAGAGTGGTGAACTTGGATTCTTTTTAACACCGATGATTGGTAGTTGAAAAGTTGCTTTCAATTCTGGATGTGTAACGTGTGCTTTAGTAAATCGAAGTGCCTAAAGAAAGATTTGAAAATTATTGATTTGTTTATTTCTTTGCCTAATAGACGAAGAGGAAATGGAGAGTATTGACTCAGATATTCGAGATTTTATTTAAGAACGACAACTATCACTAATTATTTAATACAATCATAAATAAATAGATCATATTACTTTGTAATGTTTGTAAGAACGCAAGAGATTATTTTTAAAATCTAGCAATTTCTTTCTTACCATTGGTCGGATGAATCGTTCAAATTTTGGTGGTTTACGTGTGAAACCTTCACCAACAAAACAAGGTTTTGTGACCAAACGTTTCCATGCTTTCTCTTAAAATATAAAATAATAATAAAAATTTAATTTTTTAAAATAAAATTTTCTACTTCGTCGTTTTCCGGATTGCACAACACGGAAAACTTCTGATTCACTGACTGCTTTGACTTTTGGTATTGGTACATCCCATTTACCCTATATAAAAGAAAAACTTTCCTTAATCTATTCGAACAAATCAGATAAAAATGTACCGCTTTTTCTTTTCGTTTTTGTTTAATCGTATTTGACAAAACTTTAGCACGATTTTGTTTTTCACGATCAAGTAAATAGGCAGGTACGGCACCTTCTGGTACTTCTTCACGTTGTTTTGTTTCTTTTTCTTCGTGACTTTTAATTGTTTTTTTCATTTGAATCTTTTCATTTTGTCGACGTTTATTATATAATTTAGCTCTAGAATCAATAATTAACTAGCAAAAAAAATAAATTAAAAAAAAAGAATTTCTTACTTAATACCACGTAATGTTTGTGCTTTCTTAGATAAAATATGTGGTAAACGTCCTTCTTTCTTTTTTCTAAAAACAAAAAAATGAAATATTTTCTTTCGTTTATTAATAATCAATTGATTTTACTGTTTTTCATAATGATCGAATCGACGACCATGTCGTTTACGATGAAGTTCAATATGTTCGTTTTGAGGCTACAAATCGTAACAACTCAATTTTTCGAAAAAATATTCAATAGAATTGAATATCTTACCATGGCTTGTCTTCAAATCGATCTAGAATTACCCAAAAGAAATATTAAATTTAAAAATGATATTACAATTCAAAAAAACTCGAATGATCGATATTTAATTTCGTCATTTATCCAAATCCAGAGTATACATATGCTTATTGAATAGATGTCGCTTAAAATATTTTTGTTAATTAAATTTTATTTTTATTTATTAAATAAAAAAGAATTCAAATTGCTTTCATTGAAATTTTTAATCGAATGAATTTTCTTAAAAATTTATCGATTGGTTAATTTTATCGATCCATTCGAAATACGAATAAATAATAAATATAAACAATTCAATGGAAAGATAAAAGGATTAATATTCATATCTTCAGATCGATCGTATCTGAAAAATCTCAAATGACAGGCGAACCTCCATTAGCACAACAACAACGTGCAGTGGTGGAACTTTATGTACGTTCAAAATGGATAAAAGCAAGTTTAGCACTTGAAGATGAAAACTTATTTATTGAATATGCACATAATAAACATGAACAACAGACATCAACTGGATCTGTTAATTCTCCTACTATTACTGATGAACCAATACAAAATAATAATTCAACAAATAATAATAATAATTCAACACCTGATACAATTACAAGTCAAAAACGAATTGTTAAAATTGTCAAACCAGATAATACAGGACTCGGTAAAAACGAAAAATTTAAATATTTTTTTATGTTCTTCTCTTTAAAGGTATAAGTATAAAAGGTGGACGAGAAAATCGAATGCCAATTTTAATAAGTAAAATCTTTCCTAATATGCCTGCTGATCAAACTGGTCAACTTTATGTTGGTGATGCTATACTATCTGTAAATGGAAAAGATTTACAACATGTTTCACATGAAGAAGCAGTACAAATATTAAAAAAAGCTGGACGAGATGTTGAACTTGAAGGTTTGTTTTAAAAACCAAAAAACTATCTAATTTAATTTTTCTTTTTGACATCGATGTTATGATTAGTGAACAGGAATTCCGGAGATTTTGTTCTCCATTGTAATTCAATGACTAAGACGGATGGACAATCTAACCTACATTTCCGGTGACATAGATGTACTCGAAATTTCTTTCTTTTTTTTTTTGATCATTGAAAAATTAATACTCCATAGAGGAAATAGCATGCTTTATAGATCTTGAAAACGGTGAAGGACTTCTTTTATTTTTTCTATCAAGCTTTCTATTTCCTGTATCATGTTTGCAGTTCAGTCAAAAGAAAAGACGAAGAATAAATAAATAAATAGTATTGTTTATGTTGAGAACTTGTTGAAAAGAAATTCATAAAATAGACAATTAGAAAATATGAATTTTTAAGTGAAAAATTTGTTTGTTTTTTGTGTATATATATATATATCAAACGTTCGTGATAAAAATATCATATTGCAATAAACAAGAACAATCGATCTGATAGTCAGATGTTATCGGATCCTAGAAGAATCTGATGGTAATTTTATGTTTTCATCGCAAACTGAATTATATATTCTATTAGTTAATTATTTGATCAGTATCAATCATAGGAAAACATGAAATATTTTATTAACGAAATAATTTGATCTTATCAGATGTGATTTTTCGTAGAAATGAGTTTTTAAAGTTTGTTATATCGAATAATGAAGCGTAAAAATTGATATTTTCATCAAAAGAAAGGTTATTCATTAGAACTTTTTACGTCAGAGATGTGTATTGGAAAAGGTCAAGATTAGATAATCATTATTATTTGTATACCGGAAAACGCTAAGAATATTTCAAAGTTAGTTTAACAATGTCTGAAGAAGATCAAAGCAATCACACTTGACTATTCAAAGATCATATTCTGAATAGCAGAGTAAACACTACAAATCAATTCTATTCTTATGATTTTGTTT